CGCAGACTTGCGGGGAGTCAGAGAGGTCAAGGAGGTGACACGGAGATGGCGAACAAGGTGGGGGACGTCTAACCCCGAACGTCACGGGAGTCACCAGAACGCGCCTACGACTTTGACACTAAACTGTACCCGTGGCTTCTCGGCCTTTCGGTGAAGATCAAGTGCCGGAGAATAAACTATTCCTTGACGTTTAATACGTCAATCACAAGACAAATGTTATCATAAAGCCCTTAAATATCCTGAAGCTGACTTTGCCGCCATGGAGGGAGGGGCAGTTTCGTTTTGAACACATCCTGAAACGTGAGTTAATGACGTTTTAAGGGTTTATTTACTGATGCACGCGAGAGCTGGCCCAGGCCAAAGGTGGGGGGGTGTGTGAGAGGACGCCCCAGAGACAGAGCGGGGGGGCAGATCCACGGAGACACACTGCCGGGGGCAGCGCAGAGGCAGGAGGGGTCTGCTGCGCGCTGGGGTGACCCCCTGGCGGGGGTGGCGTCGTGCTGCGGTGGCAGTGACAGCTTCACGGTGCCGAGACTTAAGCCCTGCGCCTGAGGGAGGCCCCTCCTTCCGGTGTTGACCGGGACTGGACCTGCCGTGACCTGTTCTCTCTGGCACTGGCAACCAGAAAAGCCCAGAATATAAACACCTCCCCGCTAAGTTACATAACCCCCAATTATTAGCCCCAACAGATGGTAAACATCCAGCTGCAGCCAACGCGGCCTGTTCCCAGGGCCGCCGGGATGCTCGCCAGGTCTCTGGCCGACTCCCACGCTTGCCCCAGCACTCTCGCTTCCCGCGCCCAAGGGCGCCAGCCCTCCAGGGCCCCGGCCCTCGACACCTGCTGCGCTCCAGTCGGCGTGGCTTGCACACCCCCACACCAAAGCTCGCCGGTGAGTTCCAGGCCGCCCGGGAACCCCGGGCCCCAGCTTTCGGGGCTGGGAAGGCCCTGGCCCCGAGGCCAGCCCTCACGCCGCGGACGAGGACGGGCTCACGAGCACGCGGCTCGCGGCAGACAGCGCTCAGCCGGCAGCGCCGCCCCCCCCCCCGTGGTCCCCCCCGTGAAGGCAGCGCTGAGTACACGCAAGAGCACGACGGGGAAGGCCGGGGCCGGGGGCCGGCGCGTGCGCCTGGGCCCCAGGGAGGGCTCCAGCCGCTGAGAGCAGAGCGCGCGGTGGACTCGCACGCTGCCCGGCACAGCCGAGCTCACCCTGCGGACCGCAGCGGCTCCAGCCGCGCACAGAGGCCCCGCGCCTGCAACAAGGCGCCGTCCGTCACCTGCGGCTGAGACACGGCAACGACCGAGGCGCCGAGCGAGGCCAGTTCAGAAGCAACATCTAACGGTCAGCAGGACGCCGCACATGACCGCGGCGTCTGCACCAACAGCGGGAGCCACGGACAGCCCGGCGTCCGAGGACACGACCTCGGAGCGACCCTGACAGCCGACATCAGGCCTGACGCTGCCAGGGAGGCGCACGAGGCCGGAGAGTGCCGGCGGCCCAGCGTGCGGCCAGGCGCTGCGCGGCCTGTTGGGACCAGGGGCTCCCCGGCGGAGGAGAGGGGCCCGCGCCCGCCTCCCCAGGACGCCGTACCTGAGCACCACCACGATCGGGCTCTCGCTCCCAGTGATCACCATGAGCCCCTTCCAGATCATCAGCGCCGACGAGACGATCATTCCGAAGTTTAGCACTTGATAGTAGAGCTGCGGGCAGAAGAGAAGCGGTCAGGCCGGACCCGCCCCGGCCCGCCCTGCCGGACGCGCCCAAGGCAGCAGGTGCAGGCCCGGCCGGCCTTCTGCAGGCGGAAAGGCCCGGCTGCCTCCCCATGGGCTACCCCCGGCAGCGACACCCGAATTTGGCCGCCCCGTCGGGGAGCCGCCGACGCCCCACCGTCCGCCGGCCCCTCAGAACAGCCCTCTCCCACGCCGACCTGGCCCCCCCGACACCCAGAGACACCCATCCTCTTCTCCCTCCGTCGGGGCAGCCGAGGCCTGAGGGCCTGAGCCGCGACATAGATGAGGCGGCATGAGCCAGGCGGCCGGGCAGGCGCACGGAACAGTGGGAGAAGACGAACTGCGTGTGTCTGCGGTCGCCCGGGGCGTGGCCACTGCTGACCGCACCTCCTACCCTGCGCCCCCTCTCCCCACGCCGCTGCCCGCCGGGCCGCCCCCGTGTGGGATCACGCGCAGCACCCAGCCAGGCGCGGCCACACCACAGATGCGCAGTGGGGCCGGGGGCGCGGCTGCCAGGCTGCCCGGGTGCCGAGGCGAGGGCCGTGGGCGCTGTCATTATTGTGAGGCGTGACCCTGCAAGCCGGGTCACTCATGGTCCACTTGCAATAACCCAGGAGAAAATTTGAGAAAAACCCAGGGCAGGAAATTCAGCAGAGTGAGAGCTGACAGGGTCCGGAATGCTGCCCGGGCCAGGAGGGCGCTGGGCGCTGCCGGGCCGTGGCCGAGCAGGGCCCGAC